AATGGATAGGAGTTAAGTGATCGTTCACATGTCTTCAGAGTAAGACAATTTCTTTATAAAATTCCATCTCTATCAGAGTCATCTGGAGTCTTGGAATTTTTCCTGCTTCTGTCAAGACCATCCTCCTACCAACTTTTACTTAAAATGGTTTGTGTGAACCAATGTTTGTATGAATCACTATTTGCTTTTGAACCATCAGAAATAATCTCTTCTTGACCCTATACCTATTCATGTAAATCACCACAAGAAGCCTAGTAGTACTCCTAAATTATTCCTCATATGTCTCTGTACATCAGTTTTCTGTCTTTATTTCTACCCTTATCCATCCCATGATACCCTTTCATGCTCCCCACTTGCACTCAAGGTTGGTTATGGGCAAAATCTCTTTTATTCTTTACCTTGTTCCTCAAACTGAAACTTGTATCTTCTGGTATGACTTCTGTTTTGCAGACTTCTTAAGTGGTAGCTCTCTTTACATTCCTCCTCCTGTAGAGTTTAAAGGTGTGTACTCAGATCATTCTCCCTAAAAATCACCAGTTCGACTCTAATATTGTTAGAGGGCCCTTAAGACTGTCCAGCAGTCATTCTATGTTGTCCTTGCCCATTTGCTTTTTCATGCTCTGAAAAACTATTTCAGTTCATTTTCTCTCCCCTTCAACTTTCAGCTCCTCTCTGGGAGTGATTATGAGATCTGTTTCCTCTATCTTTTGGGTATACAGCTAGACTATGTTTCTCAGACTCCCTCCCAGAAGAAGTGACTGAGTTTTGTCTAGTGGAACATGAGTAGAAGTGAAAAATGCTACCTTAGGCCTTATCCATAGAGAATTTGCCGCTTCTGCCTCTTCTAGATAGATGCATAGGATCCAGCAGAGGAATGGTGAGGCCACAAGATAGAAGGAACCTGGGTCTTTAAATGACGCTTGTCGAAGATTGCCCATCTACATAATCAGAGCCACACTGGACTTTGTGTGAACAAAAAAATAAGATATTGTTATTAAATCTTTGAGATTAGAGGAGGGAGGATTATGTTATAGGAATTTGTGTTATTTACCTTAATACTAGTTCCTTCCCCTGCACTATTCTTAGCTGATGATTACCTCGCTTCCTTCTTCACTGAGTGAAGAGATCAGAAGAGAACTTCTATAAGCTCCTTTGACTGCATTTATTAACACTTAGCATATATTGTGTCTTCTATCATTACTATGGATAAACTGCCTGTGTGTCCTTCTGCCTAAAGCTAACCCTTTTACTTGTGTTTTAGATTCCATGACTTATTACCTCTTCATGGAACAGTATTTTAGAATTTTTCCTGTCTTATGTCTTTCATTTTCCCCCATTTTTACTTGTTTGTTTTTTCTCATCAGCATACAAACATGCTCTTATGACTCATTAAAATAAAAAAAAAATTTGCTTTATTTTACTTCCTCTTCTACTTCTTTCCTATTTCTCTTTCTCTTTACAGCAACATTCCTTGAATTACCTGTAATTGATACCTCTAATTACTCTCCTTTTCTCTCTTAAACCCATTGCAGTCTGGACTTGACCCTCATTTCTCTTATATAAAAATTACTCTTGTCAAAGGCCACTGATGAGCTCCACATTGCTAAGGCTTGTAGTTAATGGCAGTACTCATCATATTTTATTGAGCAGCAAAATTTGACACTGTTGAACACATTCTTTTCCATGAAATAATTTCTTAATTTATCTTTCAGTAGAATAACCTTTTCTTCCTACCTTTCTCTATATTACCATTTTTAGACCTATTTAAAAAGTAGTGAGAGACATGCATACGGAAAACACCACAAAACAGAAATGCAGTGCTCATTGATTTATCAGAGTGAACCTCCATGTAATCACCACCAAGGTAAAGAAATAGATATTGCCATTACTTCCCAAACTCCCGTTCTGCTCCTTCCTGTCATTATTGTCTACCTCCCTCCAAAAAAAACCCTCACTTTGTAGTAATAACTTTCTTGTTTTCCTTCATAATTTAATTTCACTTGTTCTTTTAAAAACGTTACACATAAAGAATTATTTAGTTTGTATTTTTTTACATCTGAATTCTTTTAGTTAATATTATGTTTGTGGAATTTAATCATATTGTTGCATGTAGCTGTAGCTCAGTTATTTCCATCGCATTATAATATTCCATTGTATTAATATGCCATTATTCATTTCACTGTTTGACTTCTGAGTTGTTGACAGTTTTTGGCAATTATAAATAATGCAGATGAGCAATCTTATACCTGTTTCTTAATTCAGTTGAGTATACATTTTTATTGGGTGCATGTGAAATTTCTGAGTCATGGAGTATGCCTATTTTTAACTTCAGTAGGTAATGACAAAATATTTGCCAAAATGTTTTTCGCAGTCATTGTATCAATTTAGATTCTCATCGGCAGTCTATGAAAATTTTCATTGTTCTTTCCCCAAACCTGATATTGTCAGGTTAAAAATTTCAGCCATAATGGTTGATAAATAATGACATTTCATTATGGTTTTAATTTGCATTTTCCTGTTAATGTGAATAAACATCCTTTCATATAGAGAGAGACTATTTGAATACCTTCTTTTGTGAAAGTCTTGTTCAAGTCTCCTGCCCATTTTTCTTCTGGGTCATTTGTCTTCTTTTGTGATTTGTAGAGCTTTTTATATTTTAGATTTGAGCCCTTTATTGGTTCTGTGTGTTGCAGATATCTTTTCCCACTTTGTAGTTTGCTTTTTCACTTAATATTGTGGAGTAGATGCTGTTGGTGTGCCATCCACATCCCCTTGGCATTCACTTTTGTATAAGGATGACTTCTTATTACAAGCAGCTGAAAAGCTCACTGCCCGAAGACTTTCTCTGGCCATAAGAGAGACTACAATTGTTGCTCTGGCAAAAGGTCTTAACAAATACTGAATAGGAGTAGATGAATAAATATCCTACTTTTTCTTACCTGCAGAAATAGCTTCTGAAGCTTAGTCTATGCCATCTCTGATGGGTCTCCAGCAGAATTGAGCCATAGCATTATACAGCAGTAACCAGACCATCAGTGCATCCTGTATTGCTATCCTTCCCTTTCTTTATTTCTTCCCCACTCTCTTGCCTGTACTTACTAGAATTACTTTTGAAATAAATTATTTGCCTTCAAATTCTAGTTTCTCAAAGTTGGCTTTTGGAGAACCAGTCCTGAGTAAGTGGTTTTTTGATGAATGGAAGTTCTTAATTTAAATGTAGTCTAGTTTATGTTTTTTCCTTTGTAGTTAGTGTTTGTTGTGACCTGCTTAAGAAGTCTTTACCTATCTCAATATCTTGATTAAACCCATGGGATTTTAATTTATGGAGGTGACTGAGTGACAACATGAAGAGGCTAATGCCATTAAAAGAAGATTTTTATTACTTGCAGTTCCCAAGAGGAGGGAACATGCCACACAGGGTCACATGGGAAAGTACTAGGGTTGGTCAGGAATCAAAAGGAGTGAACGGAGAACATTGCAAAAGCTTGTATTATTACAGTAGTGGTAAGTTGTTAGGTGGAAATGTCCCTTTTGGGGAGGAAGCAAAACAGAGATGTTGGGGTTTGTGGTTGGAGGGCTTGTAATATTATTTTTGTGTGCTCACAAAAGCCTGACCATGGGGGAGATGTGAACAACTTTGGCCATTAGTTTGTCTCTGTGATTAATGGATGTCAAGTCATTAATTATGAAATTTATAAAAACTGGTTAGAACACCCAAGGTAACGAAGATATTTTTCTTTTATTCCAGATGTTTTATTGTTTTAGTTTTGATGTTTAGATATACAATCCACCTGGAATTGATTTTTGTGTGTGGTGTGAGGAACGGACCATGTTTCATTTTTTTTCTCATATAGATTCATAATTATATTGGCACCATATATGGAAAAGACTGTTTTTCCCCACTGTTGGGCAATTAACCTTTGTCATAAATCAAGTACTCATATATAATTGGGTCTATTTTTAGATTCAATTCTGTTCCATCAGTCTCTCTGTCCTTGTTCCATTACCACAGTTTTTTAGTTATTCTAACTTTATTACAAATTGATATTTGTGAGAATTAATCTTTCCACCTTCTTATACAAGGGTATCTTGGCTATTTTTGGAAGTTGTTCTCCTTTGATAATAGTGATGATAGCTCTATTCTGTTTGGTGAATTTTATTTATTTTAATCTTCCAGTTTCAGAGATTTATTATAAAAGAGCATAAGATAATTTGTTATAGGACTAAAAACTTTCATTTTGGTACTTCTTCTTAATTGACCCATATGGTCATAGAACAGTTCAAGTATTGTGCAAGCAATGGGGATAAAAGTTAAGAGACTTAAAAAAGAAACAGTGCCATATCAATTACTATTATGTCTTAATAGTAATATCCTAAAACTTCTTGCCGGTATTAGTAAATTAGTCCATCCACAGAACATCTTCATTTCCCCAGTTTTAGTACTATTGCTTAGCTTTAGACATAGTACTACAATTTAATTTATAAGAAGTTTATTTATAAAATTTAGTGGTGATGTTGCTTTATTTTGAAAAACCGTAATTAATTTGGACCACTGGAATTATGAAAATTGTTTTGCTTGCACAAACAGGAACCAATAAGGGACATTGGTATTGTTCTATAATTATCTGGTAGGTTTGGATTTTGCTTTTCAAATATTGTCTATCCACAAATACTCTTTGTGCCTTTTTCAATTAATTCTAGTCTCTTTAGTGCTTAGGATTGAATTGTATCTCTTATTGCTACTATGGTTTAAAGTATACCTAAGTGGCTGAAATAGAAGTGAAAGTTGGATACAATGAAGTAAACTCTTTTCATTGTCAGGAGATTAGTGCACTAGTGTTACGGTGGGTCACTAATTTATAAACAATGTTCAGGCTGGTATCCTGGCTAGGTATATATATAAACTTACATGGAACATGATAAGTGTAAAATGTTTAAGAGGAAAACCAACTTTTGTATTAAATATTTATGGTGTCTACATTGGATTTTTATGTTAATAGGTTAATGTGGCTGAGTCAAAGATAACAAATTTAATATACCTAAAACATACCTTGGAACTTGTGGATCCTCTGAAGGTAATTTATATGTGTGTGTATTATACAAAATATGTCTAGCATCAGTTTTTTAAAACTTTTTGTTTTGAAAAAATTTCAAACTTAGAATTGCAAGAATAGTATAATTAATTCTCATATTCTCTCTACATGCACAGCTTTCACACACATATTATTATCCTTACTATTATTCTTACTGAACCATATGAGAATAAGTTGTAGTACCTAAATACTAAAGCGTATATCTTCTAAGAACAAGGATATTCTCTTATGTAACCACAATATAATTAATAAAATTTAGGGTATTTAGTATACTTCTTACTGTTATATAATGTATAGCCCATATTCAATTTTTAAAATTATTCTAATAATGTTTTTTATGGATTTGTTTTTTCTTGATACAGGGTCTAGTCCAGGACTATGCGTTATATTCAATGTCATGTTTCTTTTTACTCCTTTAGACTGAAAAGTTTCTCAACTTTTCTTTGTTTCTCATGGTGTTGACATTTTGAAGAGTAAGGTTCAGTTATTATATAGGATATTCTTCAGTTTGTGTGATTGTTTGTTTCCTCATGGTCAAATTCAATTAATGCATATTTGGCCATAATACTGTATGAGCAGTGTTGTATCTTATGATGTCATTTCCTTGTGCTTGGTGATAATAACTTTGATCAGTTTCTTTTCTTTAAAAATATAAGTAATCTATGGAAAGATGCTTTGAGACTGTGTAAATATCCTGTTTCTCATTAAATTTTCATTGATTTAGTGTTCATTGGCAAGTATTACCTGGAGTAACTGTTACTCTGATGGTCACAAAATGGCAATTTCCTTATTAACTTTTAAGTACTATCCTGTACAAATTTTTAAAATTAAAGTGACAAAAAACTGCTTTTTGTTAAAAGAAAAAATAATGAAAAATGCGGAAGAGTTTTTATAGCATTTATTCAAATATATATATACACACACATTTATATAATAAAAGCAATTTGGCAAAGATTTCAAAAGTATTGTCATCTTTCTTAGAATAAAAGAATTGTAGTAATAAATCTCCTCCCTAAATTAATAGATTTGATGAAACACAAATTTCAAACTTTGGTATATCAAAGGCAGTGTAAAAGCCAAAGAAATTTAGGAAAAATTTATGGCAAATAACAGACAAAATATTGATTTTTGTCATCATGACTCATAAAATTTCCTAAGAAAATACTGGAATGCCAGTGGAAATAAGGAAATGACCCCCAAATGGAAATCAAAGTGGTTAATAAATAGTACAAAAAATGCTTAACCTCACTATCAGTCAAAGAAGTAAAAATTAACACCATAGTTTTTATCTACCAAAGATGCAAAGATTTTCTTTTCCTTGATGGATGTAATACTGCTAATGAGAGAACAGTGAGACAGGCAACTTCATAGACAGCTGGTAGGAGTACAAGTTGTACATACTTTACAGAATGTTTCAAAACATATATCTTTTGACCCTGTAATACCACTTCTAGAAATTTGTCTGAAAGAACTATCAAGAAATGTCAACCAAGATTTATGCCCAATGATGATCATTGCAACATTATTTATATCAGTGAGAAATTATAAGT